AAGTAGCCTAAAATAGGTTCTGTGGAGCCGCAGAGTTGGTTTGAACTTGTGTGTTTGATGTGTTTGTTGGTAAGCAGTGTTATCCTCCACCACAGAGGGAAAGTCTTGACCTTTTCACATAATGGATCGTCTGTTCAAAAGCTGATTGTACTCAAACTCAGACGTACACGAGATGAAGACTAAGGAACGTCTTTGGCTGTGTTTTAGGTTAGGACATTTAGGAAACAAGACATGTTTATATTCATTTATGCAATGTAACATGGACTGTATGAGGTGACCGTCCATTAGAACAAACCAAAAAGCAACTCACTATATTAGCAAACACCAGCAGTCACAACCATAGAAGCCCTGTAACATTTTAACTCCACTCACACTACTTTTAGCATTTTACATTCTTTGTCTGAGGCATTTTTATTGCTCAATCTCAGACATTAAAAACCTGTAACAAATCTTTATGGGGTATATTGGCAAGAAATTGCATTTCTACCGACAAACAACCTGTTAATGTTTTTCAAATCATGCTGTCACTGAAACTACAGTGCATTAAATCTCACTGGTTTTATACAAACCATGCAGTATGTGTATATGTAGGCTTTCTTAGTGGTAGCATTTGGCTTTGTCAGCAAAAACAACAGTGCATGATGTTCCTCGAGCGTCCCCATTTAGGACAATATCTTTAGTTCCTAATTGGGTCCAAGGGGCCTTGAGCGCCTCATTTTGCTCTGCTGTTTACACTGTGGATCAAGGCTGGGGTGGTTGGGTTGCGTCACTGTAGACGTGGACTTGCCTTTCGGGTTTGCGTCGGTATCGCCCCTCCCTGGGTACGGTATGGGGCTCAGGGACTCCTTTTGTCTCTCTGGGCCCCTATGTAGTGATACCTGAGCCTCCTGTGCAGGAACAGCTCCTGCTTTATTCATCCCTCTGATCTCTGCTGTAATTACCAGTGACCCAGGACAAACTGACTGGTGGTGTGTATCTCACTGGGTGGGAATCTATCAGCTACCAGTGCCAACAAGAGTGTTAGACGTGGAAGACTTTTGGCTGAGGAGTTTGACACCTATATTTATGAACCAAAACAATGAGATTGACCCCAAAACATACTTTGAATGAGGTATAAAACTAGTAGTCAGCTTTCTACACCTGCCACTGCCAGTGGTTTCGCTTTTGGATTTGAGTTTTGCTTGTGAGAAAAAAAGCTTCCCACCCCTCCTCGTTCCTCTTGGTCCTCTTTGGTCCCTCTTGGTCTGGCTTCTCAAGCCCATCAATACCATTTATACCACCAATATTTTGATATATTTGTGATCTTGTCTAGAGCTTTGTTGTATTATACTACCAGCTGTTAGTTACCTGTTGTATTACCTAAACATAGTCACATGTACAAGACTTAACTTGCAGCTGCATTTGTAATATGACTACAAACTCTGTCTGATGTGGGAGACAGTGTCAGATGTCAGTGAACATCTCTGTGTGTTGTTGGTGTAATAACTCCCTGTCTCAGAACTAAGTGACCTGTGTGTGTTTATGACTCCCACTGACACCAGTCCCTCAACCACACAGTGCACAAATCCCATTCACTTGGCTGAGTAGACGGTCTGCATGTTGCTTCTTCCTGGCCTTTCCTTAGCCCCGCCCACTGTCGTCACCCTGGACGTGTATCAACGTTGCGATTCAGCGATAAGAACAATACAACCCGACCAAAAATGTTTGTACTCCGTGTCAAAAAGAAAAGGGGAAAAAAAACGAAACTAAATGTGAACCTGATTATTAAAGATTCTGATGCGCAGTCATTAACAAAAGAAAACGTGCAGACTCCGTGTTTCAAGCTCCTCAGGCAGCATGCTGCATAAGTCAAAATACAGTATAGTAGTAAAACTACAAAGTAAAGTGGCTTCATTGTTTTGTCTTTCACACGTGTGCAACGTATAGTTAACAGATAACATTTACATATTTTTTTGTGCTGTGGCATCAAACTGTTAAAGATGAAACTGTATTATGAAGCTCTGGGAGTTAGAATCAGAAGTTTGTCTTTGTGATGAATCTCAATACATTTGGTGTGCAGACAGAACTTTGTCCGTAGAACAAGTCAAAAAACACGGCAATTACTGAAAGTCGTTGGTCAGATTTTTTTGGGGATGTTTACATATTCTTTAATGAGACGACTTTAATGATAATTTCATCAGTTTTACTGCTGTATTACGTTACGTTTTCATGGAGTTAATAGTGTTAAGACAGCGTTTTACACTGGTGCGTTTCAGATGTTTGGCTTAATTATTTTTTATGTTAAAAAAAAAAGGTTTTGAAGGAAAATCTGTTTCATTTAATAATGCATCAAAGGAAATACAGCTTTGGTATTAAGACAAGTCTGGAAACAAATTGAATTGATATCCATCTTTAATCAAAATGGCCTCATAAACAAGCTCTTCTGCTGACTCGTGGTTTACAGGGGAGCTGTACACTGGCCCACATGGGTCTACTTGGACCGGCCCTGCCTGTAGTGTGTCTGATCCAAAGTCCACTGGCTACTGTGTTTCTGTTGGATAACAATGTGCGATATGAGGATTCAGCGATGAGGCATCTTGTCATCGCAGCAGCGACTTCAGAAGAATTCTTTGTCGAGGTCTGTGAACGGTTTTCAGATCACTGTGTTGTTGACGGTGGAGGAGAGAGGAGCAGCACAGAAAAGCCCACATCGCAGCCTAATCGATGAGAACGATGTCAATTATTAATGAGCTGAATATCATGTTCTGCCTCAAGTAGAAAGCTTTTGTTTATTAATCAGTGCTGCCAGCTCGGCTCTTTGTCACACACCAGACTGTCGGCGAGGGGAAAAGTGAGAAGAAAAACTGTGTTGTTGGAGAGGTCACGCAGTTGGCTTTACCATACTTAATCGGTCCACATTCCTGCTAGATAGCGTGCAGTCATTTTTGGACAGGTAGTTAATCCCCCTTTGTTCCTGGGTAGGATGGGGTTATCGGTGGAGAGGAGCGAGTGTTTCCTGTGTGTTGCATCACTGTGCAGCAAGCGCTGCAGCTTTTTGTTTACCACAGAATTGCAGGGACAGGTGTGTGAGCAGCCTGCGTGTGCACATTTGTTCTACGTATGTTAAAAAATGTGAGACATGTTGCAGTGGCAGGTTTGCGCACACTCTCCACCATTGCACCAATCCTCCACCAGCGAGCGGTCTGCGGAGAGGGACGTCTGTCCACTGTGCTGAGTCGACAGGAGGGGAACAATCGCCTCGCTGTGCTGCTGTGCTCGCCTCGCTGTCAGTTTGGCCGCCTTCATGCGGCATTTTCAGCGAAAGGGGCACCGTCGGCTTTTGGCTCCGTGAGCCTTGTTGACCAGGCCTTCGCCGGCTGGTCACTGACCCGTTGTGCAGCTCGTCAGGCCTCTGAGGGCTGCCGATTATCCCACAGTAATTGGCGCCTGGGCTCTGGCTGATCAAAGGTGCCCAGCTGACTGTAGAGCTCTGGTAATTTTCCATTCTCTGGTGCTCTGCAGTGCTTGCCTGTTCGTCTGTCCTCCTGCCTGATTTATTATACCTGCTTTTCTCATAAGACATGGCAAGGCAGGGCTGTCCTTTCCGTGCCTCTTTAAATTAAGCACTCAAAATCAATATACAAGGTCACAAGTTCAAGCCCTGCAGCCATTGTGGGTCCTACAGTCATGTGACTTGGCAGATTTTTCTGTTCATCTGAACTCTATACTTACTGATTAGTTTCTGTGGCGGTCAGTGACATCATCTGGTTTCGTTCTTGGTCGGAATATAAACCTGCATAACTCTGATGCTAGCTCAGGTTTGATCAAACGATACTGCCTCACATGCTCGCTCATTAAAGGTTAAATTATGTTCTTGCCGGCCTGGGATCCATCTTTGGCTGCAGAGAACGAGCTGGATTGTCTGTGTGTGAATGGACATCACATTTATATTACAGCCTTCTACTTTTGGACTCTTTTACTAAAGAGTTGTCCAACATTTTGGGGAAAAAGGAAGGCATCTACCATGACTGCTGAATCATTCCTGGCACTCAAATAAAAGTACACCATGGAATAAATGGCTTTCCATTTAGAGAGCACTGCTTCCATAAACAAGAGTCTCTATGAGCCTAGAATCGTAGAAGCGAAACTTGATATAATTGAGTTCATAGTCCAGTGTCACACCTTTAAAGCTAGGTTTTACACACCACAGAACTATTTCTAGTAGGGAATATATTTCCCTGTATCTGTACTCCCAGAGGCAGTGCTGTGTTCACTAATCTAATCCAACCACACAGCTAACACAATTTCAGCCATTAAGACTTCCCATAGGCTTAAAGTAGCCGTGGACGCCCTGGTCCACCCTCTGTGTGAGCCACACTATAAACCTGCTGGGTAAATAGCCAGGTAGCACCAGCAGTTTGGCCTAATCTGTTGCGTAACTTGGTATTCTACAGTCATCCTCGGCTTGACAAACCAGGAAACACAGAGCCCAGCTCAGGTACGTGGTAGGAATTCCTGAAGTGACAGCTGCCGGTGAATGCTTCCGCTCCATTACCATTCATGCTCACAAGACCAGTTTGGTTGGATGTTCCTGACGTCAACACCACCCGCTTTGCATCTTGTGGACTCCGGTTACTGCTTGAGTCGGTTTCCTGTTTCCCCTTTGAAGATAATTGTAGAGTCGCTAAAAACGCAGTGGTCACAGGAATCTGTTGTCATTCTTGTTTATTCGCAATTCAGCGTGTTTTAAGGTCAGCTCACCTGACCTGGAGGGAAGTGAACAGAAAAGTGTGTGTGTGTCTGTCTGTCTGTGTGTCTGTATGTCTGTGTGTCTGTCTGTCTGTGTGTCTGTCTGTGTGTCTGTCTGTGTGTCTGTCTGTCTGTGTGTCTGTCTGTGTGTCTGTCTGTCTGTCTGTGTGTCTGTCTGTGTGTCTGTATGTCTGTGTGTGTGTGTGTCTGTCTGTCTGTCTGTCTGTCTGTCTGTGTGTCTGTCTGTCTGTCTGTGTGTCTGTGTGTCTGTATGTCTGTGTGTGTGTGTGTCTGTCTGTGTGTCTGTCTGTCTGTGTGTCTGTCTGTCTGTCTGTGTGTGCTTTGGCCTGGTCTGGCGGGCAGTCTGTTCACTCAGCAGGAAGTTCCTTTTCCACTCCATCCTCTCATCACTCCTGCTGCTGGAAAAACACTGCTACTGACACACACACACACACACAGACCAATGGCACTGTGTTGCCATTTACCGACAGTGTTGTTGGGATGAAAAGCTGTATTATTGACAACACATTGACTCAGCAGCTGGAACCATGGAGTGGGTTGTCTGTGTGATATTGATTCTTCCATGTAATCTGCTTTCTGTCTATCTGCCCGTCTTTTTTCACTCATCTCCGTCTCTTGTTCACTTTCAGTATTTCATTCACTCTCTTTCAAATCCTTTCCACGCTGTCACCGCTTTGTATGTCTCAGCTTTTCTGCCTTTAACTGTCTTTGTCACTTGTGTGTGTGTGTGTGTGTGTGTGTGTCTGTCACTTGTCCGTGTGCGTGTGTGTGCGCTGCCCTCTCCGTCTTACTCGTCTGTGTTTCTGCGTATCAAAGTGACACACGTGCTCTTAAGTGGTATATGCGATGCATCGTTAAGTGTCAAGTGAGCAGTGCCGCGTTTAAAGCCACAGCCGAATACATTCTCCCCACAGCGATGTGTAGACGTTGATTGGGAGAGCAGTGAAGAGTGACAGGCCTTCCTCACTCAGTGAACACCGTGAACACGCATACTGACACCATTCCTCACTGTGGGACTTTCCTCGCCTCTTATACACTCACATAGCCCGCCTAAATGATTTGTCCAGCCCCATCAATACAACTTAAAGACACTTTTATGGTATATGGACTTTATTTGCTCAATGTTTTCTGCTCCTGTGATTTATTTAGCTTCAAATTGTGATTATTAACCTTAATTGTCAAAGCAGGGAACATATTATTTGCCTTCCTTCTGCATCTTGCATCCACATCGCTCTGCTTTCATATTAGCACACAGGCACAGACTGGTGTGCATCATATGTAGTGGCACTGTGGTGTTACTGTAAAAAGTGTCTGTGTGCTCTGTAATGTCTGTTTACCAAGAAGAGGGATAGTAATTATGAAACTGGCATAATAATGGCCATCTTTTAGTTATCCCTTAGTTGCCAGGATAACGTCCAAATACAAGCGTATTATAAAGAATCTACAAACCATCACCAACAGCCTGATTTTAAGTTTCTCTTTATGCAATCGCAACACTTATAGGATAGAAAAATGATCCCTATGCAGTTTAATTCCTCCTGGATCGCCTCTGAAGCTCATTTGGGGAGCAAACTAATTGGCTCTGATCGCTGCATCACTTTTCATTCTTTGCGGTTTTGTCTTTGATGTGAACGATGAATCGCAAAACGGTCGCCTTGTTTAATGGATAAACGTTGATATTAAGTGAGCGTTTGCCTGCGGCTGTCGGACCAGTTACATTGCCGCGAGTCAGTGCCCCATAATCATAAACGTCTTTAAAGCAGACATCTCCTCTGGGTCGCCTTAACCGAAGGGAAGGAAGAAGGATGAGAGAGGAGGACTTTAGGGAGGGAGGATAAGCAGCAAACAGGTGCCTATGACTTCTCACCATTAAAGAAACCATTAAGCAGCATGTTTACACTCAATGGAAGGTGTCAGAATTGGCCTAAAGATCAACATGTGGTCGAGTAAAAGTTGTATAAAAAGGGATTTGAACCTCACTGTTATTTTGTTAATTTAATTAAACTTGTACTTAAATAAAGTAAAGTGGCTAAAGGTCACTTGGCTCTTTTGAGAGACTTCATCAGATGGTTGCTTCCTGTGATCCTGATCACTTCCTGGAGGTTTAAACCGTACTTTTGATTGGTGGTTAAATAGAAAGCGTTTTTTACATTTAGGAGCAGGAAGGCTGCAGCGTGCTGCATATGTCAGCAGTAATGAATGTGTTTCAAAAGCTCCGCCGTACACTTGTTACTTTCCCCGATGTGGTTAAACCAGGCATGACAGTGCTGCTGGTGCACAGGAAGAGCTGAGTGAAGGCTGAGGCCCATGAACCAACAGGCGTGCATGACGTTCGCCACAGACTGCCTGAAACGCATCGCCTAACTATTGATAACATCATCTTTCGATATTTCATTTTTCTCCTGTGAGTCAGCCGCTCTGGAGGAAGTCTGTCTTCATGCTAGCTGGTCGACACCAGAGACAACCAGACCTGTTTAACTTGATGGAAACCGTGTGTGAGTTTGTGGGGAGATCTTCTGCTTGCTCACCGTAACAGGGTTTCAGCTTTAGCAATCTACTCTGGTTGGTTGTAAACTGAATGTTGACACATGGGACTTTAACCAAAGATTGTGACTGTCTCTTACTCAGGTTTCCTGAACTCGCAGTAGAAACACTGATCCAGGAAGTTCAGCTATCGGTTTTTATGAATATTGAATATCTCTGTTAATATATGAGCACAGGCACAGCCCCGGAATATAAACTGCAATCTTAGATTGCCTCTCTTCCTCTGAGACTCTGTAAATGTGCTAACACTGGCTGTTGTGAGCCAGCCATAGGATTAATAGATCATGTATTAACAGCACTTTACTGAGGCCTGGTGAATATGTAACATTGTCATCTGGGTGTTTCTTCAGGTCGGTGCAGTGCTTCGGTAGAATACCCAGTGTGTAGTATTTGGCCTGGTTTCTCCACCTTGCTGCAACTCTAACTAATGGCACCGTACTCCTCTCAAAAACAGCAAAAACCTAATAATGGAGCCATCTTGGCTCTGGGTCCATGAGGCACTGTGGTCGTCCGTCTCACTTCTGCATGCGTGTGTATGTACAAGCTTTGTGTTTTTGAGAGTTACATTTGTGGGTGTATGGCAGGTTTCTGTGTGTGTGTGTGTGTGTGTGTGTGTGTGTGTGTGAGTGATACAGAGATGTCAAGGGGAAAAAGTAAACATGGTTTCCATGAGTAGCTTTTTCGCTCCGAGGTTTACTCAAAGTTTCCTAGCAGAGGTCACTTCTGGAGTCGGGGACAAAGTGGATCGCCTGTGAGGAGGTTGAGCTTCTGTCCCACAGTCTGCACAACAAATAAAGAAGACAGCCATTCTTCTCAGTTTAAGAGAAAGGAGCACGTGGCTGTTTTGTACAAACCTCACAGCCACTTGATAAAGACGTCTTCCCATGGCGGCCATGCTAGTTGGTACCTATTGTGTTCTGAGCAGCAGTCTCCTGTAAAGAGTGACCAGGATTGATGGAGTTGGGACACTCAAACCCCCCCCCCCCCCCCCTAGCAGGCTTTCAGTCAGCACGACTATAGTGTTTACAGCTCTCTTCTTTTAATTGAAACTCCACTCCATTTGACATACCAGCACCTCTGGCAAGACATTTTGAAAAACAATCACAAAAAGGCTGGTTTTTTTTTTGGGGGCAAAAGCAGCAGACGTAAATCTTAAAGATGTCTCTTGGATGTGTGTCGTTATGATGGAAACCAGGCCAGAGACCCGGCCCATTGATTCAGTCTGTGAATCATCGCCGGGGCATGTCTGAGGGGAGCCGACACAGTGACAGTGATTTGCCACTCCCTGGTGCCAGGGTACTGCCCCGGCTGTTTAAATGTGGCCTCAGCTGTTGCCCAAAGTGATGTGTGGCGCTACGGCTGGTTGGTTGACTTGCTGTTGGACTGGGCCCCCTTAATACCACGCCTGGCCGCTCCTAGATACGCACACAAACACAAGCACACATAAAGACAGATACTGATGTACACACACACACACAATTAGAGCAACTCAATATCCCCCGTGCAGCAGTCCGGGCTCTATTTTCTTTCTCTGTCTCAACCCTAACCCCGGTCAGCCATGTGTACTCAGGAAGCAGAGGTCGCCGTGTCTTGCTGGGGGCAGGGAACAGATTGAAGGACTCTGAAATGATTCAGTGGCAGACTGGGAAGCGAGTGAGTCGCGCAAAACAGTAGCCAGCGCTCCTATTCCCACCATTTCCTTCCTCTGTGGAGAACCACCCATCTGTACCTCGAGTCGCTCTCTCTCTCTGGCTCTTGTTCCGTCCATACTTGAACCTCCTAAAATAGATGCTTTTCAGGAATAAAGAGGACATGGCGTCCTGCTGACTTAGGCACGTTTCAGTAGGTTTTATTAGTTCAGCTCGCTCTCAAGCTAGTTGTGCTTTTGTACATTCGGCTGATGTTTACAGAACAAGACATTACAGTCTGCTGATCGTCCTTTGTTTGGCAGCTGTCCTTTGGATGAGCGTCCATCTCTCCATCATGGTGTCAGGTTGTGTCTGTGGATCACTGTCGGGTCACATGCTGTACCTGGCAGATGAAGTGATTCTGATTATTGTCGGGACACTGACAGTGAAAAGTGTTCAGATCATAGAAGCAGAGAGCAGCTGGCGATGAGTTACACTTGTTTACCGACCGTCTCTGTTTCCACCCGCTTGGACACACTGTGACTGCTGCTGTTTTATATTGTTGAGTTGTCTTCTTTCCTTTTTATGCTAGTTATTTTATGTCCAGCCTTTTGAAGTCAATTACAGTAATTGGCTGTGATGAAGGCAGGGGTGATCCACATTTCTGTCTTTATGTATGTTGTCCTTGTGCTGCTACAACACCTGCATTTCTCCTCTGGGGATCAATAACGGCAAAACATCTTTGAACAGAAACAAAACTAAAGTAGTTAGAAACCTTTACAAAACGCATACGAAGAAAGATCATCTTATATTACTACTAGCCTATAACAAATATTTAAATTCTGACTCAAACTCCACAGATAGTGTTGCTTCACCTGCTGCATGTTGAGAAAGATCATTTTATTAAAGCAACACTACGACCAGTACATTGCCTGACATTTGTCCGTTTTTGGGTGGTTTTGATTCGGCTTAATCACTGACGTGATCAAACCAGCAATGTTACCGGTGCCACGCATGCACAGCTCATATGAGACATCTGGACCAATAGTGTCTGTCTTGAGAGAAACAAATTAAACCTGGTTATTCCAAAAGTTGGATTCTCTGGTGAAAAGTAGTGCCAGAGAAATACCCTCCAGGGGATAAAGTCTGCACATTTTCAGCAGTGATGCCAGCTATTTGGTGAAGACAATGTGCCGCTACTGGATGTATATAATGCCACTGAAAAGACTCCATTCAGGTCAAACTGCCCCCTGAGTTTCAGACTGTGATGCAGTAATTACTTCTGTTCTAATAATACATGTAAACCCAGGCTATATCATTCAGGGGTTAGCGTTAACGATTGGCATTAATGAAGGGAATCAGCCGGACGCCCCATCTCACATTGTTCTCTTGAACTTGAAATGTCAATATCAGACATGTCATTAAATCTATTGCAGCCCTGAGCAATACCGTTACATGTCTGGGAATTTAATTGTATTTGTTGTACAGTAATCGGTAGTAAAAACAAACGGAGATGGGCTTTTTGACTTCCGTCTGCCATCACTGTTGACCCTGATCCTGGTCCCCACAGTCTGTCCTGGATATTGGGGTTCCTCGTTCCCTTTTGATGCACTGCACACTCTTTTCTGTTTTTTTTTTACATCAGCATGCCAAGCCACAAAGCAGGGGCTGGAAAATTGGATTACCACAGCAACAGCATTTTTCAAATTCTCTCTTCATGCGGCCATTTTTGGGAGCAGAACAGACGCACTATCACCTCTAGTCGCCCGATAACGGGGCTCAGCAGATATGCCGGGCGTGCTTTGCATTACGCATGGCCGGCCTGATTGATCGAGGGCTATCCCGTCTGTGTTGCTCTCCAACCTATAAACCCAGTCTGAACACACATAACATGGCTTTCCCTGAGCAGAGCAGAATAAACTATGGATGAAGAGTATCGGCTGGCACAAGTCATGAAAGCAGACAGTGGGGCCTTTTTTGTCTTGAATTGCTGCCCATTCTCTCTCACGCTCACTCGCTCCCTTAGCCCCTCCCTCCCTCCCTCCCTCGTCTCTTTTTTTGTAACCCAACCGCAGTACTCATCCCTAGGATCCTTCTGCAAGGATTAATCAGTTTACCATTCCTGGAGAGATTATTCAAATACTGTTACATCTACAGCCAGCAGCAGCACAGCACTGACTGAAGGAAAAGTCCTGCTCTTCCCCTCCATTTCCTCCTCTAGCTCTTTACTTTAGTTCCTGTTTGTCCTGTGTCTCCCCTCCGCTGTGTTTCTGTCTTTACACTTTACCGCTATTGTTGACTCTGTGTGCTTATGTCCATAATTATCCTCCACTGAGTCCGTTGATGATATTGCATGTGAGTCTTTAGTCATTCCCTATCGCTCCTTTCTGTGTACATGAACACAGAGAGAGTATACATGGTCCTTGTGTAATCGTCCTCATTAGTGTTGGTAGGAGAACAGCCAGAGATCCTCACTGCACCAGACTAGAAGAGCTCCAGCAGGGTTCAGGTCCAAAGCCTTTCTCCCCCTTTTTCTCTCCCAACCTCCTCCATGCTTCTCTGTCCTCCATCTACTTTTGTAGTTTAGAATAAGTACATTAAAACTGCCAGAGTATTGTTTTCATAATCCGGCTGGTTCTTGGACATGTTGTTGTCTTTTGACACGGTAATGAGACAACGTGTTGAATGTGTTTCAATGGTGTCAGTGAGTAGTCATGCAACCGTTGGCTCTAAGTAAAGACCTTTCATTTCTGGCTTATTTATTTGTTCTATCCCAGTGTGTAGTTGGCCTAACATCGGTATTCTGCCAGGATTTATTTTGCCTTGTTGTTCAACAACAGTAAGAAGTCAGTCATTGAAGAGGCAGATAGATAAATCCAAAGACACGAAACATTGCATGTTGCATAAAGAGGGCTGCTCACTTGGGAAAACGGTGTGTTGTGTACCGCAGTGACTTTTGCTATTGCTTTGTAGATGAACAAACAGCAACATGTAGAAGTTGTTTTTTGTTGCTGTATTCGTCTGCCTCACTTGATATATAACACCGGTGCCATTGATGCCCACAAAGATCATAAAATCTGTGAAGTATTTGCCAGTCAGAAGCTATTACTGTCTGTTTAACTGCAGGTTTGATTCACCTCCTTGTTCTGCATTGGTTTGATTTGTAATCCAGTTAAAAACAAAGGAGGAAATGTCTGGCTCAAATGCAAACCTTTTAGCTTCCTCTCAGCTGTTCTCTCTCCCGATCCTAACCTCCAACTCTTTTCCATTCTCATTATTAATTCCCTCCTGCCACTTCTTCTGACTTTCCCCTTCTTTTCACTTCACCCTTTTCCATTCTCATTATTAATTCCCTCCTGCCACTTCTTCTGAGTTTCCCCTTCTTTTCACTTCACCCTGTCAGATTTTGGTGCTCCATCTTTACCTCTCACCTTTCCTCCCTCCTTGCCTTCATTTTTCTGACTCGTGGCTAAAAACAAGGGGCTGAACCCACCTCACATGACCCACACCCACCCAACCACCCACCCACCCAAACACGCTGCACAAGGCGACAGCCAGACTTTCCCCCTCACTGCCAACACCACACACACGCACACAAGAGGTTCTTATGGTTGTGTATACTGCTACTAATTCAGATTTCATACACAAGCTCCATGTTTCAAGTGGGATAATGAACATGTGCTTTCACAGCTTAATTATGTTTGTTCCTGTTTCACACAGACCTTAATACTTCACATTTTCAAAAGTACTTCACTTGTTGAGTTTATGAAAAGGTTTCACTGAAGTTTTTTTCACTTCCCATCTACATTTTTTTCTGATAAATGCTCTCATTTGAAAGCAGTCCATAAACAGACGGGTCCAGAGCAAGTTCAAATCAATGAGAATCTGTACACGGCCGTTGTGTCAGCCTGAAAGGAGGTGAAAGGGTCAAAAAGCACAGAGATTGTAGGAATAGGACTCCCTGAGCTGGAGGCCTTTTCTTAGAGAAGAAAATGTTAACATGTTGTTGGGGTGTTCATATCACATTCCTGCAAATGGTTACTCATGTTGAACTCTCGCGCTGCAGGTGCATATGCTTGGCTGAGCAAAAACGTTGGTACACATATATACACAAATACAAACGTACACTCTTTTTCCCACGCACACGAGTTCATGTGCTTTCACTTACATTCCTGCTCTCCTCTTCTTCGTCTCTCCTCGACTCTGCAGCGGAGAGAAGGTGTGTGGGTTGTAAGCTGGCATAAGTGTTAAGTGATTTAGAAGGTGAGTTTAGTAAAATGCTGTGAGAAGAGGCATTAATGTTCCGACATCGGCCGAGTAATAGTATATCTCTCTGTCCCAGGGATCAGTTTAAAGAGACTTTTTCCTAAAATGAGATTTCCTGGCACGAAATGTCCTTTTGTTCTGCACTTCAGTCTGAGCTGGTGGCTTCTTCCATCCCAGAATGTACCACCAGTTATTTGAGAGGCTTTCCTCACCAACCCCTCATGTCAAAAACTTATTTTAGAGAAGTTATGCAACAACCAGCTGGCACAAACTGCAAAAACAACACTTGCTCTCCTGCAAACACTCAAGGCACGGGACAAAAAGCTGTCAAGTTACCATCAGTGGAACTATTCCGCTATTGGCCCGTTGGGTAGATTTTATTTTAACCCCTCCGATTACAAACATGCATAGAACACAAATCTTTTGGAAACCGAAAAATACATGTTGCAAGACATTTATCTCAGCTGTTTGTCGCTGTGACCGAAGCCTTTACATACAAGTAGTCATTTGATCCATTGCTTGTATAGCGATTAGTGCAGCTTCAATGTTTTGTGGTTCCAGCTTCTCTAATGTGAAGATTTGCTGCGTTTCTTTTGTTTTATTTTTTAAATGTGTGGCAAACTTTTCTTCATTCTCCAGCACCAGAACACAGCTGTTTTTAAATTCTGGAACGGCTATACGAAATAGAGATGACTGTTAATAAAACACTGCCTACCTAAAAGTACCACTTCCCTAATCATCATTCTACAGCATCACAAACAAACAAGGTGTCTTAAAGATGTGTTTGAAACAACAACACAAGCCCCTTTTACACATTTAGAAGATGTGTTTGAGTTGACGACGACAACATTTAATGAAAACGCCTGCGTAACACATTGGAAACGAGCTTTTAATTTGTTGCACCAGAGACGAGGTGCTCCAGAGCAGACAAATGTGTTTCCCTGCTCCTCCTCCTCCCTCTGCAGACTGGAAGCATGCCGCCTGTCACTGGCACTGCAGTGAGCCCAAACATGATATGACCTAAATAAACCAGTGTGTTACGAGAGAGCGGGACGGAGGGATGAAGCAATGTTTTTTTTTTCCCCTTTCACCGAGTAGTCTTGTTTTCAAACACTTCACTCTACTGCAGGCTACAACTTGCACATACACACTGTTATAAACACACTAGATTTGGACTGGGAGCATTTTTATCGTGACACTTGCAGAGGCACTTGGCTCTTACTACAAAACAGGTGCTTTCACACATCCAAGCGCCTGCTTTACACCTGGTAAGGTGACACTTCTGCCCGTTTTTACAGACGGCTCAGCTGGTCGGTTTGTGTCTCTACCTACAGTCATGATTGTCTTTCTATGAGTGATGCCGCAGAGAACACGCAGTAGAAAAATAGGTATTGGATGTAACACACAATCGTTTCCATAGAACAACATGTGGAAAAATGGCGACAAAAATCCACCAACCAACAGACAAAATCTCTTCTTGAATTTGCCTTGCAAGGCTAGCTGTGCTACCACTTATTTGACGCAGTGACCACCATTTAAAGTCGTACTTATTTCATCAAGTGCGTTAACTTTTAAAAAAATGTTTTAAGTGCACTCAGGCTAATTCGCATGGCAGATTCAGGCTCTTTGAGTTTTCCGGTGTCCGTGGTCCACTCCGGGTCGCCCCTTTAGTGACAGTAGGAAGTTTGATGTGTTTGTGTGTGTTGTCGGCGGCCTGGTCAGCGCTGAAAGCTCCATTGTGTGCTGCCCACAGAGCTGGAGCCTGGCACGGACAGATAAGAGCACCTCACCTCAAACACACTTTCTACCCCCGGCCAGTACCGGCTCCCGGGACAGGTTTCATTATGCAAACAGACAGCTCAGGTGTGTGTGTGTGTGTGTGTGTGTGTGTGTGTGTAAGTCGGTGCATATGTGTGCGGTCGCTCTGAGCATGTGTGCAAGTGAACGCTGCTATGTTGCTGCTTGTTCGTGTGCGTGTGTGTGCGCGTGGGGACAGTCCACTCTCCTGGATTAAAGACCTTTAATCCCGCCCGATCCTCATCAGCTCTGAAGTTCGTGGGTGCAACTTGTTAGTCGAGGAGAATGTGTTGCTCAACCTTAAAAGTCCGATTTGCATGGCTGACTGACTCCTGGTCCTCGGTTAGGAGCTCTGCTCAGAGAGACGTGAGCTCGGCTCTCGTGATGGCTGCACCTCTCACTTCTAGTTTGGATCAGCAACTTTTAATTGGGTCTCTGCTTCTTTTTTTTTTCTGCCGCCTAATCTCCTCCTAAAGCCAAGAAGACACACATGCACCGTTCTAAAGTAGTGCTTTTAGCCTAATTAATTGTACGGTCTTAAGATTTTCAGAGAATAGAGAGTGTGTTTGAACCTGCACTGAAGTGAGTCCTTGACTCGGTTATGACTAAGGCCTCGACCGAAGGAATTCTTAGTCGACTAAAAATGAGACGACTTTGTTGATTTATCGATTAAGTGATTTAATCAACAGATTTGTGTCTCTTCACACAGAATCATCAAAAGATGAGAAATTAAAGAGATCTGATCGGATTTTCATGTAACAGTAATATAATATATATATATTATATGTAACAGTAGCTCTGGTAAACTCAACAGGTAAAACGTTCTCGCAGCAAACTGCCCTCGGTGTATTTTGTTCCCTTTTATTTGGACTGCCTCGACTCCAAACGCTACAAAGACTTCACCTCTTTTGTTCCTCCTTGTGAGTCAGAGAGACAGCAGCTCATTGTCTTGTTCGCTGATGTCTGTGTTTGAAGCGTTCCTATTTACAGGCCGGTACTCTGGTAGCAATGTGGCTCTGTCCTATCTCACGGGACATTGACTAATTTCTGTGTTGACATACGCTGTTGACTGCACGTGAATTGGTACATATCCCAGACAGACAGACTGTTATCATTGTTTAATACAGATGTCTCTCACCACTCACAGGGAGCTCAGCGATGAATAAGCTACGGCAGAGCTTCCGCCGGAAGAAAGACGTCTACGTGCCGGAGTCGAGTCGGCCGCACCAGTGGCAGACGGACGAGGAGGCCGTCCGCAGTGGCAAATGTAGCTTTGCAGTCAAGGTGAGTCTCCCTCACACATGAACACACCTGCATACCAAACCTCACAGACACACACACACGCACGGAGTGCAGTGCTGGCCTTATTGTGGCACACTCTCACCTCTGAGCATGCTGCCGGGCTCCCCAAGGACGCCGCTTGTGATTAATCACAAGCATTCAGAGACAGTAAGCACAGCTTTTATCTCGGTTCTCTTTCTGTAGCCTTCGAAACCTGTGGGATGTGCGCACACATAATGGATTTCTGCCTTCCGAGATTAATCAAAACCACTTGAATCATCGAGTGAACTGTGCAGAATTAAAGAAAATGTTTCATTGTCGCTGACAAATAACAAAGTCAGGGGCACTGCGATAAGAACGACTCAGGAGGCGATGCAGTATCTTTCTACTCACAGTATGTATCTTCGGTGCTGTGCTGGAGTGGAGGTTTGCTATGTTTTGGCAACAAAACTTTCCACTTTTGCAAACAGAACTGCAACGGTACACTTCCTCTTAACACAAGGGATCGAAATGTTCTCCTCACTCAGAATAAAGGGGAATTAAAAACCACAGAGTGGAGAAAGAGAAAGTTCTCCTTCCAATATACGAACGCTGTGGCTGGTCAGCGGATGTGGATTACATGAAAGCGTACAGGTTATGGTGTCAATGCCGCCCGTGTGTTTGCTTTATCCTGTTTTCTTTGAGCAAGAAGCGAGAGTTCAAAATATTGAAAGCGGAGGGAGGTGGAAGTGACCGTGAGAGTAAGAGGGAGGTAAGGTGATGTGGAACGGGTGTCGAAGTGCGACGGTTCATGGCGTCAAGTCTCATCTCAACCGGTGTGAAACACCCTAGATTCAAGATCTCCTGTAAGCTGTATTTCAAATGTCCCCTCACCGCGCACACACACACACACACACACACACACACACACACACACACACACACACACACACCTTCCCTCCCCCACCTGCTTCCCATAAATTGTCTCCCTTCACTGTTCTCAGAGCTAGATTTGTTTTATTGTCTTTGGTGATTCTTAAAGAAGACCAAAGACAAACCACTGCTGTGTGACTTGCACTCGGATAACTGATCATAGCTGCAGGGTCTAGTCTAGAACCTTCTCGTAAGCAGTCGGTGAGTTACAGATCAGCCACTGTGGTCAAAAAGAACATGAGCTTTATCTCTCATTGTCCTTCCTTCACATGCTTCTGCAGCCTCTCACGCTCGTCCACCAGCTTTTTCTTTTCTTACCTCTGCACTGGCTTTCTTCGTGCAGGTGCAACCTACCATGCTACTCCTCTGTGTCCCTCCTCCCCCCCTCCTGCTCTTAGGTGCCTCAGAGGAGCCCAGTCGAGTGTGGGTTGGAACAGTTGCAGTGAAATCATCACCGACTGCCGCACTAAAGAGTGGCCGATAGAGGGGAGGAGATGCAGTGAAGGAGGAGAAGAAGAACAGTTGTTTCAAAGTGGTGTGGAGGGAAAACGGGGGGGGGGGGATGTGGAGCGATGGGGCGATGGGGCGAAATGAGCCTTTAATGTTGTGGTGTGGGGGCTTCCTCCACTATCTCTTTGACGCAATACTCCACTGATCCACATCTGCGCTTTTTGCCCCCCCCCTTACATGTATGTTTTTGCTTGCGTCGGTTGCATTCCAGCTGAAATTGCAGTGACAGACAATTATTCATGAGTCAAGGTGATTGTCAAAGGCGTAAAAATGTTGATTTCCTTTTTTGTATGGTAATATCAGTCTTATGAGACTGCTGAAGCCTGGAGATCAGATGAAATTGCTTATGTGTGTTGCTTACCAACTACAACAGAGAAGGAAATGAGTTTTTATGTCCTTGGTACGTTTAGATCTATGTAGACTTATTCATATGGAAATGAATGTCTGCAGCTATTCACACATTGGAAAGGAGTTTTGTATTGAATCTGACACAATTTTCTTTCACTTAAACTGATTTATGGCGAATATCCTGAATGAATTCCTGTAACCCTTGTGGATAACATCCAGAGGATTTACACCAACAAAGCCAGCTCCAGTTAATTGATATTGACGCATGTGAAATGCCACCTTCAGAGCTTCTGAGCTAGAGGGGCTGACATGTGTTGTGTTACCTTTAGAAGGAGCCAGCTAAGCGGTTTCAAGCCGTATGAAGCTAACTGCTGTTTTGCATTTAAACAATACAGAGGGCTGTTCTTTTTTTTTTCGTCAGGCCGTTGTCGTGACCCTTGTCCTCCTTATCATCGGCCGCTCCAAATGTTTACAAATTGTGAATTTAGGAGCATCCCAGGGTTGCACATGTTGTTACAATACTTCATGTCTTTCCTCATCTAACACAAACGGTGCAGAAGCAGTGACAGCACAAGAACACAAACGTCATGATGTATAAACTGAATCTAATCCTAGCCCACTGTGGGATTAGAACTAATCCTGGAGTGGGCCCACAAACCGACCTGTATTTCAGAACCAAATTACCCTTCACATGTACAACAAACGGCTCAGGAGATATTCATTATTTTATTTCTTTAAAAGTTGCTTTGATTGAGTGCATCTGTGTACATGTGAATGTTTCCGCCTCCAGATTGTTGCTGGAGTAAGATGCTACACGAAGCATCTGTTGTGACACTTGGAGCCTCCTCTGCGGCTCGTCTCACCTCAGCTCCTCGTCTCCTGATCCCTTATTAGCGACACTGCTGCTCTCAATGTCCTCACATCCCCCAGCTGCCTCCGTGCATCAGTATTGTCCGTGTGCGTGTGCGTGTGTATTCTAACACGCCGACAGTGTGACTCACAGCTGTGGCGTCACACTCTTAAAATAGCAGGGGCGGAGGGGGGGTGAAGTGTGTGTGTGTGTGTGTGTGTGTGTGTGTGTGTGTGTGTGTGTGTGTATATATATATAAGGAAAGGGTAAGGACTTCCTCCGCCCCAAACGCACAATAGCTACTGGGGCGGTCAGGGTTGGGACTCTGGAGTGACACACAGCAGGGTGTGATGCTGCTTCAGGTCTAGGAGGGAGGGGGGGAGGGAGGAGGAGGCGGCGGCGGCAGCCTTTTCCGTTCATTCAGTTAAAAGTCCTGATGTCCTCATGTGGGCTGTTACGGTTGGAGCTCAGGGTTTCCCCCCCTGAGCTGAGTCTGACAGATCCTGATGCGTCTCATCTCTTTGTTAATTAGAATCTAGATGGCTGTTATTATTTATGCGGCACATGTGTTGAAATAGGGCCTCTGCTTTTTTTTATCCTTGAAGGTTAATGTTATACACTGTATATATTTAAAAGTGTACTGATTTCCTCTGACGTCGGTGGAGGCAGTGCCATTCATTCTGGCACAAAGTGCATGGAAAGGTGCACGATTCTGATTGCCCATCATCACTTTACCGTATCAGCCGATACAGATCGTTTTTGTTGGTGTTGTTGTTTTGTTATAGCAACTAGTTTACGAGGCTCCGGATTATTTATTTGTTTCACACCCATCCCCAAAAATTATTTTGCCATCCCAAAGTCAGTGTGAACCATACAAATGTTCAAAATGTTCTCCTTTCACTTTGTTATAATCATCTATATTGGCTATTTGCACAAAAACACACTATTCACTCTACTTTTATTTATAATGATGTATTGTTAGCTGTTTAGAGCTAGTGTTAGGAAGTTAAACAGGTCATAAGTCCCTCTTTAATATCTATATATTTCTGTGAAAACATGTAACATACATAATGTAACTCAATGGAACCTCCGTGTGTTGGATGTTAGCTCCGGTGCTAGTGTTACTAGCTCTCCTCCTGCCGATTTCAACACGGATCTGTCGCTCACAACGTAGCATCATCAGGGATCAGCGGCCAGAAAGCGTTAATGCAGATCTGCTTCATGTTTTTACTGAATACCGGCTGAAAAAACTACGGTCCGTTACTCTACTGTTCCCCACCTGGGTGCACAGCGGGAGGCCTTGGAGTACTATATTGTTGAGACCTAAAAACGATTACACAATCAGCAGAAAGTGATCAAGTGGCCTGATTTTAGTTGTGTTGTAATGCGCGTCATACGAGGAAACGGCAGTTTCTTTTTGCTTCTTCGTGTGTCATCTCTTGTGTAATCTCTTCCTCATAGAATTACACACTTGCTGTTAGATTTACTCGTCCGTTTACATTTCTCAGGGAAGTGTTTAGCGTTTTTCTCCGAGGACAAAATTAGAGATCAACTAGGGAGCAGTTGAACTGCGATTGACCTCAACATGGTAATTAATGAGGTGTATAAATCACTAGCCTACCAGGGCATATTAGATGGTTTGACTCATTTAAATACCCTTTCTCACTGCAGAGTTTATTAATGTAACCTTACTTCAGAAGCGATAGCCACAGGAAAGGTCTGTCCCAGCATTACTCACTCTCTCTCCCTGTCTCTGTGCCCTGCAGTACCTGGGACATGTGGAGGTGGAGGAGTCCCGAGGCATGCACATCTGCGAGGATGCAGTGAAGCGGCTTAAGACGGTAAGTTTCACTAGAAAACCCCTCCGTACTTCCAGGAACAAGGCGGCTAAACACCAGACATCCTACTCTCCTTTTTATCTTTTCTTCCTGTAGTTTCCTTCACAGTGCTTCTTCCACCAACATCCTACTGACTATTTCTAACGTTTCCTTTACTTCTCAGCAGCCCTCCTTCATCTGTCACTAAGCAGTTTGGTTCTTTTCATTGTTTCGCTGTTTATTCCGGCCTAGTTTACTAGTCTACATCGAGGCCTGCGTGTGGCCGATTGTTGCCGTTTGTCGGTGAGGGTCTCCACCCATCGTGACCCTCTGAACGTCTCTTCCTCTCTCTTGCTCTCCTCGCACAATGTCTCCGTCAGAGGAGATAGGCCGCCGTGTACTTCCTGCTGCAGGAGATTCCGGTTGAGTTGCGCAAAAAGAACAAATTCCAGTTTGGGGAGCGAGGGAGGGGAGGGGAAGGGGTAAAAGGGTTTGCTCTCCACGTTGTGAGTTGCCAAGACTCCACCCAAGTCTTAAACTCCTGTGAGTACATGAAGCTGATTCTCTGTCATCTGGGCCAAACCTGAGTCATGAGTGCATGAGTCCATTCAGCGCATCAGGTCTGAGTCTACGGTCTAAATTTGAATTTGAATACTCCTGCTTGAATCGTGTGCGATTAGCTTTCAGTTTAAATGACCTCGACTTATCGAGAAGTCCCCCCTGCTGTTATCGATACCGATTCTTCTCGCTTCATAAAGTTGTGTGAAGCGCCTTTAAGACCTCTTGCATGTTCGACTCAACGAGCCGTTGAAGACCACTTGAACTATTGAGAGCAATTTGTTAGTTTGATTACACTGCAGACCATGCTTGAGAATAATGAAGTGTTTTATGAGTACAATGTAATGGACAGTAAAACGCTTCCATTGTCAAACCAGTTAAGGCAGAACACTATAATAAAACGGAAGGGGTGTAATACAAATGAGGGAACACACACATGCAGCACTATGTTTTCCTACAGTGCTTACATCTATACACACACACACATTTGTACACACACAGATACACACAGGAAGAAGTGAACCCGGCAGCACAGTAGACAGACGCACTGTATACACCCGTAAACATACATGCTCCGAAAGAAAACACAGTAACTTGAGCACACACATACAAGCCTAATGAACACACACACACACACACGCTGGTGCTTGGTGAGGTCACATGGTGTACACAGAACCTCAGGCTGTGAGGTCTTATTGAGTTACAGTCATTTTAACAGGGTGGACAAAATGGAGCCAACTCAGAAGGAGAGATGGTGCTTCTGCCCTCTGTCCTCCTGCAGGCCGTGACTATCTGACCTCCTCGGCCTCATGACGTTTCCTCCTCAGTCTCCTCCGCTGCTCCACCCAGAGGCCTTCTGTGTTAGCCAGCAAGGACGTGGCTTTATTGAACCCCGTTCAGAAGTAGGCTGGAAAAATGAACTTTTGCCACATTTGAAATGCGAGTCAGTGCTGCTGGCAGTCAAGACTTTACATTTTACCAGACGGCAACCTTCCGGTTCTGATGAGTGAAGCCAACGCGGAAATATCTTAAAAACTTGCATTCTCTCTACTGACCAGCTGCTCTGGTTGTATAGAAGTTTATGAGAAAATTACTCTACTTCTCTCTTGATTTATTACCTCAGTAAACATTGTAAACATGAGTTTATGGTCTCAATCTCTAGTTTCAAGTTTTTTTCAATACAGCATGATGTTCATTTAGTAAATTATGCTCCATTTAGAGTCAAACAGACCATAAAGCAGAGTATGCTTTCGGGTGGGCTTCCTGTGATTACCTCTAAATTATGTCACGCAACACTATTGGCTCTGTGTCCACGATAAAGACAGACAGACAGGGAGGTGCCGGGGATATAGGACGATTAATCGCTGATTGGCTTTTCCTGCTCCAAAGTATCGTCATTACATTGGCCTTTAAAATCCACCGTCGGTTGACCTCTAGTTACCTTCCTGCTCAGTGGCCTCAAGTCGAGCCCTGGTCCGGACGTGGCGGTTCACCTGTGTGCCCCAGAGGCTCACCTTACAGGATAAGCCTGAAAACAACCACAGTAGGTTGCATACTGTGTTCCAAGATGGTGCCATTCATTCTAATGAAAGGAGCTTTTGCACAGTGCAGATTCATTTTCCTCTCTTCCAGGTGTGCCTCCCAATCAGTATTGTTGTGTCCTTCCCTTGGTCTGCTGGCTTGTTGAATAGACTTGACATTGAGATGCCGTCACACAGGAACAAAAGCATTTCCCTGTTGAAGCTGTGGAAACACTAAATCTTCACAATTTAAAAATTCATAATACAAGAGTATTAACATTCAGCACCAGCACTCAGAGCAGGGGAGCTGCAAACGGAGACGAGTCGAGCCGACCTTCATTTCCGACTAGTTTTGTCGTGATTCTCAGACAAGAGTAGGGTTGTAACGTGTGCCGTCCACCATGCTGTTATTCTGTGTTTGCTCTGTCTACAATGACGCAGCTCACAAAGATGATTCAACTGACAAGATGAGGTCTGACTCGGGGGGTTCTCTGCTCATAATTCGAATCATGGAGGTTTTCGGGGACAGCCCGACAGCTATTTGAGGTCTCTGTAAACAGTTTTATGGACATGTCTTTATTGTACCACATCTATAGACTCAGGACACAGTGGGACGGCCCCCGGTGCCAGTTATCCCTGTCAAAGCTAGATTGTCCAGACTAGAACAGGACCGGCCTTTAAGCAGATATACAATTAGCCCCGATAGATCCCAGTTCATCCTCGCTGACTCTTTAAAAAGCTAACTGTTGCCAGGCAACAAATACAATACCTACCGGCGGAGAGGCTGTGAGTTAATATTGCTCGGCAGTAAACTCTATTTCCAGAAGCTAATGATTAAATTGGTCAGGAACCAGGCCCACACCTGTAGGCACTTAAGGACTGATGAGGGCCGTTTCCTTAAAATCAGCAGCACATTCTGGCAGCATCAGCATCTTTTTGTGTTTTTGTTGTTTTGAAACAAGAGAGATGAAGATGCTCTCTGATGAATAAGGAGGAAGAACATGAAATAATGTTCCCCGTATGCTCCCTGTGTGCCTGGAGGGCGCCTGTTGGTGGTCCAGCCGTCAGTCGATGTGTGTGTGTGTGACAGTTACAGCTCTGAGCCGACTCCATTGTTTTCCCAGCAGCCTTTGGGAGAGTAATGAGAGTTTTCTCACAGCTCTGAGGAGGAGGAGGAGGAGGAGGAGGAGGAGGAGGAGGAGGAGGAGGAGGAGGAGGAGGAGGAGGAGGAGGAGGAGGAGGAGCTGCAGCACCATCAACCTCCAAACAGCCCTTTTTTTGCATTTGTAATCATGACATCGCTTCCTGGTGCTGTTGGCCGATAGCCGAGGTTTAGAGGTGCATTCTGTGTTGTAGCAGTGGGAATGTTTTTGGAGCTCATAGTGACCTGGAGTATCTCGTCTGTGTAGACTGGGTGGAGCACCTCCACCATGTGAGCTTCTCCCAGTAGCCTCAGGGTCTTGCATGGAGAGCTGCAGGATGACTTTGACTTTATGGCTCTTTATGGATGCCAACCCGGGAAGTTAGCATCATACTGATTACCTCGACAAAAACAACAATCTGGAGCTTGTGGTGTTAACCACAGACCTTAATTCAGGCATCAGAGAACTGGAAATGCAAAAATGCTGACTCATTTCTGGGTTTTAGGACTCATTCCTGCAGCGCTGTATTGACAACATATCTAAGTCCATCAGACAGTGTGCATATTAACCGGGGCTTTTAATTAAGACGTTTAGTTAGACATATTATGAAAAGCTGCCTTGGATGCCTTTCCACCCCGACTACGAGAGATATTCCCTCAGTAAACACAAAAATAAAGAATACTCACCAATCATGTCAAAGTGTGTTTCATAAGGAACTTCCTCCTTCCTGTGCAGCGTGGTGGTGAACCAACACCTATTTATCAGTGATAAAGTACTCTCTCTCCTGTAGTAGGTGTAACTGTCATACGTTTGTAGAAAGTGTTGAAAGAGTTGTTGCACAAAGTAGTCCGGTGACAAACGTTACACCAGACGTGTTGCACATCCTGCTGGTGGTTAGTCTTGTTTCTGTGGTTCAGAAATGACTCGTGCCACCATTACACAGTCTTTGCTCTGCATTGCAAGGTTATCTATTAAAAAGAGGTAAAGTATGTTCAACATTTATATCATCAGAAGTAAGTCTGGTTGGCTTCAAAATTTCCTGCTTCAGTTGTTTGATTTTGGCCTCGTTGGCTTCACCTTTCAAAACTCGGCTATCCTTTCTGCCCAGAAAGCTTTTTACCCTTCTGTAGTGTCATCCCAGTTCACACATTGAGTATCTGATATTGTGTTACCTTTTTGTTGGTGTTATACAAATTTTTTTTTTTGTCTTTTTAAGCAGGTTTTTATTGAGGTGTTGCAGAGAAATGCCTCCGATACCCTAACCCTCCCCCACACGCCCTCCCATTCTAGCTATCGAAACCCTGTAGAGACTCTTCTCCACTAACCGTAGCGCACTAACGCTAGCTGTGCAGGCTCTACCACCATCTGCATGTCTCTGTGGTTCTCACACACACACACGCACACTCACTCACACACGTACACTCACACACACACACACTAGCAAGCAATTAGCTCATTCCCAATGAATCTCCAGCGCTGGTTAACACGTTAAATCAAGCATTAACATGGTGCTCGGAGGGCCGTCTCCACCAGGAGCGGAGTGGCACTCCTTTTCACAGTTTATGGGGAGGAGAGGAGCTCTCAGGGAGTGTGGGGTGGGGCGGGATTAGGTCTAGGCCGGGTCTGGTGGTAGTGGTTTCTTTATGTGGTTACAGCGGCCTAAACTTGACCCCCGAGTCTAGTCACAGGCACGACTTGGAGGTCAAACTGCCGCCTGAGGGAATCTGTTTGTCTGTTGAACAACCATGGAAGGACCACCTCTCGGTCTAGGAATCAGAGGGGAAAGAATGAAATGTAATTTGGGATTTTCTCCACCACACACACACTCGCACAGACGCACACCTGAAGGTGTCCAGACACCTCTGTGTGATGTCTCCGCTGTGGGATTGTTGTGGTCTTGTAGGGTTTTTGTTGCTTCTTTAAATGATATATAAAGAACAGAGGGGTGTCTCCTCCTGCTGCCGGGAGGTTTACAGGCGTCCAGTGTGGCGGTACTAACAGTTACAATAACAACCACAGCATCACCCATCAAAACAGCCCTCAGTATGGAACCATGTGGAGCTACCTGATCCATTGCTTCACTCACTCACTCGCTCATAACCCGGCTTCACCGCCACCAAAAACAAACAACTAAATAAAGAATCCCCTCCTGTGGGCTCCAGACAATTTTTAGACTTCCTAGGTAACATTTTCATGCCTTGTTCCTCCC